TGTAGCTACAGCGTGATTAGTGGTTAAGATGGAAAAGGCACTACATTTGTGGGTGGAAATTTTTCAAAAATTACATTTTTGAGAGAGTGAGAGAGACCACATTCACATAACTTGTATTGCAGTGTATTGTTATACTTGTTCCATTTTATTAGTAGTTATTGTTCATCTTTTGCTGTGCCTAATTTATAAGGTAAAGTTTATCACAGGTCTGAATGTGCAGGGAAAACACAGTGTGTATAGGGTTCAGTCCTCGCCGTGTTTCAGGCATCCACGGGGTCTTGGACCGTATCCCCTGTGGTTAAGCAGGGAAGCACTGAACAGTCATTATGAGCAACGGCTCAGCAGTCAGGCTGTGTGACTCCCAGTCCTGCCAGCTCCCGGCTGTGAGGCCGTGGCCCATGACCACTCCTCTCGGTTTCGTTCTCCTTAAACATGGGAGATGATAATGATAGTTTCTAAGCCACAGGTTGCTGTCGGGATGAAACAAGGTTAAGGCTGCGCAGCACAGCGCCTGGCACGTGAGAGCGCCCAGCGGACGCGGGCTCATCCTCACACCAAACACTGTGCCCACCTCCAGTCCTCCTGGCCACTCTGTTTCCAGCCCGTCGTGGCGACCAGGTCCATGCCGGCGGCTGTGGGCGGGAGGCCCAGAGAGAAATGCAAACAGTGTGAAGACACGTTTCACCAGGCTTCCCAGGAGGCCCCTGGCCAGAGCACCCAGTCACCACTGCAGCTCAGCGCGCGCCCGCACTGCGGCCTGCCCCTCCCATTTCCATCCCCGCACCCCTCACTCCTGCTCCTGGGGTCCACATTCCCTAATAAACACCTACTCTTAAGCTTTTTTCTCAGACTCTGCTTTCAGGGGAACCCAGGCTAAAACAACCCATTATAAGATGATCCTACTTTCTTGGAAATGCTGCCTTAGAAAAATGTGGGAAAAGAGAAACGAAAGGCGCTAGAGACATGAATGTCCTAACAGAGATGTGATTGTTGCCTGGACTAGGGTAGCCTCTCGGCTACACCCCCAGTTTCATGTTTTATTTCTTCCATTGTCTGAGGGTGATGGAGTCATGAGGTAGAGGCAGTGATGTGCTTAGGGACCTGGCAGGGCCTTGTAGTCTAGGACCATCCACATTCCGGTCCTCAGTCGGCCACTTACTGCCGACTGTGATCCTGGGCAGATGTTGACCTCGAAGCCTCTGTCCTACCTGTAAAATCGAGGTAATAAATGCCTATTCATCCTGTGAGACACAGAGCCTGTCAGTTGAGTGCTCAGCCATGGTACGTGTTCAGTACATGGTAAGTCTCGGAGGAACAATCCCCGTGGTCATAAGCTCTGGACTGTCCAAGATCAGATTTCTCCTGTGCTTACTCAGCTTCCACAATAAAAGGGTAAGTCTCTCAAAGGCAGTGAGAGACGTTTGTCATCAACAGATACATTATCCCTTTACTGCCCAGACTAGCGAAGCTGCTAGGATTTGCTTGCCTTCTGGTCAGGCTGGTTCCCAGGAAGCAGCTCTGAGACAGATCTGTCTGCAGGAAGTTCCTGGGCAACGCTGTGAAGAAGGGGAAAGAAGCAGATGAGGCCGAAGTGGGCTGTGATGCCGTCACAAAGCCTTAACTGAGCCTGTGGGGAGCACTGAAGCTGGGATGGCCCTCAGGGTAAGGAGGCACACCCGCCTGCACACTCCCAGGCACTGGGGAAAGAAGTCCTGAGTGGGGGAGCCGCGTGGTGCAGTGTCCACCACACCTTCAGATCTAACGGGTGGCTTTGGAGAATGCGGCAGTCACTGCCATTTCTCTGCCCAGTATCCACTTTCCCTTTCTTTCTTATTTACAGGTGCCTGGTTTGTTTACGATGGCCATGTGCCCAATAAAATAACTGGCTTCCCTGGACTTCTTTGCAACAGAGGTGGGCCAGGGGACTCCATATTGGCCAGGGAGATTTATTTATTTTTATTCTTCTTATTTGTGGTGCATGCCCCTAGCAGGAACTGAACCCGGGACTCTCTGGTCCACAGACCGACGCTCAACCACTGAGCCAAACTGGCCAGGGCAGGCCAGGGAGATTTAAATAGCAGTTCCTGATGACGTGGTGTAGCCACTGGAGAAAAGGACTTTATTTGCTTATCTACTGTAACCAGGTTTGTGTTGCTTGACACCAAACAGCCCCACATGGTTCCGAAAGGCCTTTTCATTGCTTAAGTATGTGGTCCTTTAAGTTAATGGACAACAGCTTCGAGTCCCAGCTCTGATGTGTCATAGCTATGTGGAACCTCACAAGTCACTTCATCATGACTTCCCATTTCTACAAAGTCTAACAGTAGCATCTAATGCATATCTCAACATGCAATACTAGAGTCATCACCTTGTCCCGGTTTGCTTGGGACTTTCCTAGTCCTTGCACTGACAATCCCCCATCCCTCAGTTCCAGGCAAACCCAGACGACTGGTCACCCTATTAAACACGTCACAAAACTACCCTACCTCCTTTACAGATGGAACACTGGGTCCTGAAGGCTAAAATTTATATTTGGTGCTGCCCCTTAGTGGCTGAGTATAATATAACATCACTGCAAAGGTTGGATTTTTATCACGCAAATTTTTTCTTAACCCAAAACCGCATCCAGCGACGGTAAGAAGCAGAGTAAGGATATTGTCCTAACCATTTCGTTTTACATTTATAACTGTGGTAATCCCACTATGTTTTAGTATTCATTGATATGCACCAGCAAATACAGTATTTCATAGGGTTATTGGTAGGATTAATAAATGTGGGTTACACTGTGGGCCTTGGCTTTTCCTTAGGAAAAATGGCTTTACTCCGCTGAGCCTCTTTCCTCATTTGTATTAGGGGTGATAGGACCTTCCTCAGAAAGTTGTTTAGATTGATAAATGCTCTTGGGGCCCCTGGAGGGACGCATGACCCCCAAATGGTGCCTTTCCTACTGACAGTTATCCAGAAGCCAGGCTTCAGGCCACCCTCAGCGTGGCTCTGGGAGTTGCCGCGATGGTCCCAGGGATACACCTTCTCCTCCTGAGCAAGGCTGCTCTCAGCTGGCAGGTGGGCTCCAGGGAGCAGGCAGGCCCGAGCAGCCACTCTGATGCATGAAGCTGGTTCCTCTTAGACAGAAGCTGTTCTTAGTAATCTGAGCTGGCCACTGGGTGGCACTCTGCAGGGATATAACCCCACACTCAGGTCAGTAGCCTTGAGCAACGGGACCTAACTGATGCCCAGGCCAGAAGTCTGTGCCAGCCACTGTCAAAGCCAGAACTACAATGTAAACCCCAGATGTTCTCTGCTCTCTACTGTGGTTGTGTTTAAACACACTAGGGCACACCCACCATGGCCTGGGCTGCTAACCCTGTTCTGAAGGCTTCCTGAAGATTCAGAGAAACAGAAGCCTGCCTCCCTGCCTCCGTCTTTATGAGCTCTACAAAAAGGAATCACTCCAATCTTTCAAAAGTCGAATTCTGCTATAGCTGCAAAGACCCTAAAAGAGGCTTAATAGCAATATTAGATTAGGTTCTTCAATTCTGTTTACTAGTGAAATTAGAGGAAGAATACACCACCTATATTAATACCTGTAGCTGCACTGGAAAAGGGTTAACTGTTCAGTTAAGCTAGAAAATCAACACATACATTTGCTGGCCTCTGCTTTGTTCTGTGTACCTTTGATCAGAAGCCTTGTTGTCCTGTTTTAGTGACTTGGTTTTAAGTTTCAATATTATAGATCTTTAATGATTTAAGATGTTTTATCTATATCATGAAATATTACGCAGTGGCTATAAAAAGAGCTTGCTCAATCAATCAATATCAAGTATCTATCTCAATGTGGAAATATCTCCCAGACAAATTAAGGGAAGCAAGTTAATAAGAAACATGTCTAAGACATAGTATTAAAGGAAACAAAGGGACAAAATATTTTTAAGAAAAGCAAGTCATAGAATATATATAGAATGATTCCTATTTAAAAATTACACATTTAGCCCTGGCCGATTTGGCTCAGCGGTTAGAGCGTCGGCCCCTGGACCAGAGAGACCCGGGGTTGGTTCCCGCTAAAGGCACGTACCTTGGTTGCAGTTTGTCCCTGGCCCTGGTTGGGGTCGTGTGGGTGGCAAGTACTCCATGTGTCTCTCTCACATCGATGTTTCTCTCTCCCCTGCGCTCTCCTCCCTACTCTATCTGAAGATAAATGCAAAAATGTCCTCGGGTGAGGATTAAAAAAAAAAAAAAAAATTACACGTTTCTGCATCCGCATGGAAAATTTCTGTAAGAATATTTCTCAAAGCTCTGGAGGAGGGATTAGAGGACTTCCTTTATATTATTTGATTGTTCTCCAGTGTGCATGTATTGATTTTAATCATAAAAACAAGAATGCTGAATACACCCATGTATATACCTATACTTGCTATGAACTAAGCCATTAAAACCATTGCCCAGACACCAAGAACTAAATCCACTCAGCTCAGTGCTCAGTGTTTGTTTATGGAATGAAATGTCTTGGAACTTGATATTAAGGAAGATAGTTTAATGCTGTGCACACCTGATGTCTTGGGAGGCTGTGTTGAGAAGCTGGAGCTGGTATATTAAGAATAGTATATAAATGTCTAATTACTATGTTGTATACCTGAAAGTAGTATAATATTGTATGTCAACTGTAATTCAAAAATAAAATTTTAAAAATCTGGAGAAAAAGACAAAAACAAAAAAAATGCAGATTATGAGCTGTTGAATGAGGAAGCACAAGCCACCCACATGGAGATAGCAGGTAGCTCCCTCAGCATCTGAGCTCCCAATCTGGGGAAGTGAAACCCACCCTTGGGGTCGTTTTGATTGAAGGCGCAGTTTTAATACATCCACACAAAGGAAGTCATCACAAGATTTATTACTTACTGATCCCAGTTGGGGGGATGCAACTGAGCTGGGGGAATGGCAACCCTCCATGCTGGGTCATGAGTGAGCAGCTCGCAAGCACCTATACGGTGGCTGGGGCGGAGGTTTTTGCAGGCTTAACTCTAAGTGGTTATTTCAAAGGGTGTCCTGGAAAAGTAAAGTGGGACCTTATGATGGGCATCCTAAACTCAAGTTCTTACCTGAGTGCCCGGACTCTGGGTGTGAGCAGGGCTGTCATACCGTCAAATGTCTCAGCAGCGATTCAGAAAAACAAAGCTGTTTTCCACAGTTGTTTTTCTCATCACACAGGCAAAACCTGTATCTACAATGCTTTTAATGTGGGCTCTCATCCAAAATATTTACCTTTACCAACAGATGTTGCACATTAATTTTTAAAACATCTTATGATTCACGTTTATTTTCTTCAAGCTGTGTTTAGCAGTTCTGGTTCAAATACCGTGAGTGATGTTTAGGCTTTAAATACTCGAGAGACAGCATAGGATGGTCAGCAATAATAGAAGCAGTTGAGATCAATTTTAACCAGTCCTAGGCCACCAGCTGTGACATGTCCTCCTGGCCCAGCGAACTCTGATGCTGTCGCAGAAGGAAGCAGGACTTCGGTCCCTTTCCATTGTCGCTGCTGGGCCTAGTGCAGCCCGCTCCTGGCCCTCCCTTCCCCACATGCGCTGTAGAGTGTTCTAATTTAAAACATGTTTATTATACAAAAAAGGATACATTTAAAAAATATTGGCACTCACTAGAAAAGCACTAGAGTGACTTACAGGTACAAACCATTAGTGGTACGTACAAGTATTCTTCAAAATTTATTAATAGAAACAGATGTATTTAAATGCAACACTGGACAGAAATGAAGAGAGAAGGTGGGAGTACCAACGACGTGGAGAACCTCACTTGCACATTACGTGTCTTCACACAGAGCTAGCACCATTAGTTCAGGAACCACAGATTTAATGACAGCTTCTAATATATAAAATACCTTATAAAGATTATTTAACTATCTAGTAACAAAGTTCTTCCAAAACTTGCTTAAAAATCACTTAGAATTTACCTTTTGAAACTCATGAAAAGGGTTTAAAAGTTGATCCAATTCTAGGAAAAGCTTGTCCAATGGAATGAGCCATAACCCCTTTTATTCGAAGACAGTACCTGAATCCAGCTTCTGGCTCCCTTCCAAACACCAACCAGGTACAGTAATTTGAATATTAACACAGGAATACGAGCACATCTAAAACTGGTCTCAGAAAATATTTTTCCTAGACTATAAAAAATACTAAATTGAATACAAAAGTTTCAGCATATAAAGCAAACAGACTATGGCAGACAAAACATCCTTAAAACTATCGTATACCACAATCATCACGAACATCAAGTATTATTCTAATAATTTTTCTGTGATTCTTTCTGATTCAATGTGTACTTCCCTTTGTTTTGTTATAAAGTCAGATGCAGACCAAATTCTGTGTTTCTAGCAGAAGTGACTGGAGGCACCGCTGAATAATTCTTGGCATCCAACTGGTTCTCAAAGTGCCGAGAGTGCAATTGTAATAGAGCTTGTATTCTAAATCGGGGGCCAGCAAGCGGCAGCCTGGGGGCCGTGCCTGACCCACAGCCTATGTTCTGTGTGGCCTGTGGTTGCTTTCACAGGACAACAGCAGAACTGAACAGCTGTGACAGAGACTGCCTGTGGCCTTTTGGTCCCCGCCGTCTAAAATATCTACTATCTGGCTCTTTTTAGAAAAAGTTTGCCAAGCCCAGTTTTACATAAATCACTTTGGGAAATTTTTCACTGAACGAGGACAAGGTAAGATGGTCCCAGATTAAGAGAATTTGGGCTGAGGTTTGCTGGTTCCATTGTACAGTACCATGGCAGATCAAAAGAATACACATTTGGGTTGGCAACTTTGTGTATTAAAATATTCTGGCATTGTAAGTGAAGTCTGGCTATGATCAAGTACCTTCCTTTTTCTGTGAATTGGCCATTGTGTGTCAAGTAACTCATGTACCCGAAAGCAACAATGTACTCATTGTTCAACCGAAACCATCTGCGTGGCTCCCAAGCGGACTTTCTAGAGCCATGAAAATCAGTAATCATGTACCCTTAGCAAAGGTGAGACCTAGAAGCGTACCTTTCCCGTCCCTCTGTATTGGCACAGATTCTGTAAGTGCTGGACTATGTACCTTTTAGAATCCTTCCCGGTGACATGCATCATAATAGTTAGTACTACTACTACCCAGGGCCACAAACATGTCCCTTCTGACAAAGCGGACCAAGTTTTCAAGGGGGCACATGGGCTTGGGAGAACGCCTGTGGTAGTCCTGGCAAAAAGAGGTGTGGAAGGTGACATCGACACCGTTGTAAAGAATCCGGACAGAATGCTCCCGGGGCTTTTCTCCGTCTTGCCAGAGCTCGAAGATCAACCTGGCTGCAAACCTCGGGAACCTGGCTTCCGTCAGGCCCAAGGCACTGAGAACCGGTGACAGAGTGACGTCGTGCGCAGAGTAGAGGGCGAAGGTCTCTTCTTTCCTGCCCTCGGCGGCGCGCTGCATGCGGCCGATGGTCTGATTCAGGATGGGGTGGGCGCCCAGGAGCGCATACCCCAGGTACAGTTTCTTCTCCCGCCTCTCTCTCTCATCCTCTATCTGGTGGGTCTTGATCACCCTGAAGTGCTCCATGTCAATACAGCCGTTTCTGGTGCAAGGGAAGCTGACGTTGTGGCAGAAGTGGCAAAGCATGGAGTCTATGGGGTTGGCAGCTCGCAGTTGCTTGGTGGGGACATCCACGATCTTGGCCATCTCCCCGTAGGCCCTCTCCAGCTGGCTGTTCTTCAGACGTAAGAGGTACTGCCGGCGCTGCTCCTTTTCCAGATACTGGTTTCTCACCGGGCAATAGCAGTTTCCGGAGCAGAACAGAGCACTGGGTTGGTGCCTGAAGTAAATCTTCTTCCAGTCGAAGTCTGGGAGAAAGCCATACAGCAGGGCCAGCCCACTTTGCAGCGTCCGGCTTTTCCCGGTGGTCTCTAAGTAGAGCTGGTCTGTGGACCAGTCATTGGGCAGGAGTTTGTGTTTCTTTAGATAGATGTCCCTCAGCAGCTGGCCATTCTGCAAATGCTGCACGACTCCTGAAACAGAGCGACACAAGCTTTCCTGACCAGCAGCTCAGCCAAGAGGGTAGCAAAGGAAAGCTGAGTCAGCGTGGAGAATGTCATCGAGCCTGTTGCCCACTATGTGGACGCTGCAAGAATGGGTCCATGTCAGCTTGACTAGGGAGCACCTCAGGGTCATCCATGGAGAGAGGAGCAGGGTGGGCCCTGTCCCTGAGTCCCACAGCCTCTCTGGGGAGCACAGTGACCATCGGCTTCAGTCCCTCCCTCCTGACCAGCCCCTTCCCTGGGGAGGCCCTGTGACTAGCGGGCCTTGGATGGTAGGAATCACCCTACCGGTAGGTGCCCAGGCTGTATTTGTCACTGGCCTAAGGAGAGTTCTGTCCCTCTGCCCAGGGACAAGACAGTCCTCAGTGTACAGGGCGAGCTCAGGTAACTCAGGTAAAGAGAAAAGGCTGCTTGCTGGCTGCTTAGTCCTCTCAGTGCTGGGAAGTTCCCTCCTTCACCCCATCCTCCTGACTTTCCCCACCGAAGGCTCTCTGCTAATCTTCTGGGTACATTCTGCCTAAACCTGTTGGGGCTTTACCAACTTGTCCTTAAGGACACTCTCTCTGTAGGAATATGGAATAATTTCCCAGATACCCAGATAGAATATTTAAAAACAAAAACAACAAAAAACAAAGTACAGAACAGTATGTTTTTATGCTCCTTTAAGTAAAAATGGGGGGCCCTGGCCAGTGTGGCTCAGTTGGTTGGAGCATCATCCCGTAAACCAAAAGGCTGTGGGTTCAATGCCCAGTTGGGCACATACCTCGGTTGCAGATTCGATCTCCAGTTGGGCATATGGGAAGCAACCGATCGATGTTTCTCTCTTTCTCTTCCTCCCTTCTCTAAAATCAATAAATAAAAATGGGGGGAAATAAGAAAGCATATTTGCAGTTGCCTGTGTTTTGCATAAAGAGACTTTGGAAGGATGAACAAGAAACTAATCTCAATGGTCACGTGAGAATGATGGGGCACAAAAACGGGGTGGATGGAACATGGGCAGGAGCAAGAATTTCAAGTTTGCCTTCTAGTTGTTTTAATGTTAAACCACAGTACACTAATCAATTATCTTGAAAAAATAAAAATGGCTTATGTTCAAGCAAGAGAAGGCAATCCAAGATAAAAGCAAGCTCACCTGCCAGCCAATGGGATGCAATTTCAGTGACAAACATGTATTCTCCATGAGTGAAAACCATATGCAGGCCCTGTGGCCAGTAATCTCATTGACTCAGATGCCCAAACGTTTGAACAGCTCCACAGCAAAGATGAGACAAGGCGCCGTTGGCCCAAGAAGGGGAGTAGCTCAGAACCCCACCCCCCAAAGTATGTCCTATTCTGGATGAAGAATATTGATTGAGAGCAGAATTCCCTCAGAGATCAGGGCTGGGTCAAGCCTTAGCATTTCCAAAATGATTTGCAAAATGAGGCAAACCACGAGTGATGCACATTAAGGATCTGTGTGTGGCCCTAGTTCACCTCTGGGCCGACCTTACATGCTTAGGCCAGACCGTTCTCCTTTAATCCTCCCAAAAACTCAACAAAGAAGGCATATTATTCTCCCCATTTCCCTTATTTTCCAAATGAGGAAACGGAGTCATTCGTAGTTGAGAAGTAGCAGAACTCGAGTCCCCATCTGGCCCCAAGCTTATGCTCTTCGTTCCTTCTCACAATACCTTCTTCCTACATGTTCATGCTGACACACTAAGTTCTAGCCATTTATGACTTCTTATGCTCTCTAAACACAGCCTGCAGAGTCCTGACTCTGTTCCCCCTTCGCCTTCCTCCGCCCAGAGAAACCCTCATCCAGAGCCTGGCTCCAATACTGCCTTCTCTGAGTCTTCCTCCTTCCTCCCAGGTCAGACGAACAATTCCCTCCTGATCCCACATGCCGCTGGACCTCTGGGACGTGAGCTGCCTTCACCAAGCCTAGCGCTGTGCTAGGCACTTCCCACACGCTATCGAATTTAACCCACCACCAGCCCTGTGGAAGGCATTTGCCCCATTTTACAGGTCTGTCTACTCCAAAGCCTGTGTCTATTCTATAAGACCCTGCAGCCTGCAGCAGTCCAGGGAGTGGTCTCCGTGCGCGTTGTCCCACTGCAGCTGAGGGACCCATCAGGACAAGCAGGGGAGCATCGTACTTATCCAGCCCCCACTCCGCCCCTGCACTCAACAGCTGCCAAAGCATCTTGAACAGAGTAGGCACCACTGAGCGATCCGTTCTTAGGTAGTTACTGGGAGGTGCCAGAGTGTTCCAGCTGTAAGTGATTGTTATAACAGCTCTGCTTTTCTAATGAAATTTAAAATAGAAGATAAAATTGGCCATTAAAAGAGAATAAGGGAATGGGAGCAAACAGCACTGAAAAAATAATTTCTAGAGTAATACTAATTTAGAATATGATGATGAGCATAAATCAGTGAGAAGGTCAAATAAATGATTGTCTCAGTGTGTGAGCCTCCCCCTTCCCCCACAGACCCCACTCTTCTCAGGGAACAGCCCCTGGATCCAGAGGCTGGGCCCCCTCTCTCAATGCACAGTCACTCTGACCTCTTAGCCTGCCGATGGCACTGACCCTCAAGGACCCCATCAGATTCTCTCTCTCAAGAATTTGGACTTGCCAGTCCCTCTGTGGGCACAGCGAGGACTGTCAGTGTAGACAGACTCACAGCAAAACCACAGAGGCAGAGACAGGCAGACTTTTATTCATGGTTCCCGTCTCTGGAGGCCTGGTCCTATTCTTGCCCTTAGAGTCTGTGCGTCACCATGAATCCTCCTGTTTGGTTTCCGTTACTTGCAACCAGAGTCTAAGCAGTGGTTCTCAGCAAGCATGGCTGTGCCTAAGGGAGGGTTTGGAGGTCGAGCTGTCACAATATGGAAAATAATGTTCCTGACACCCAGCGGGTTGGTGGCCAGGGGGCTGGATAATCTTCACAAGGAACTGTTGTTCTCTGTCCCATATAACTTCTGAATGGACCATCAGACATTAGCACACATGAAAAATCTGTTTAAATCGTCTAGAACCTACTTTTTAAAATCTATAAACACGGTCATTTTTGCATAACATGAGCATCCAATGAATTTCCCAGATACACGATATTAATTGAGGGACATCTGTATTTTGCTTTGGTCAGAACTGGGGGAACAAACAAACACACAAAACATGTTCTGACACTTGGTATTAAAGTTACCAATACGACATCCCTCAATCAGTTTGTATTGGTAGCTGTCACAGTCACCAACCTGTATTTCTGTGTAATCACCTAATTACGTAATTCCATTTTCTAGTGTAGGTGTGCTCATTTATATTGAGATACACAGAATTCTATAATAGTTTCCTTTTTTCTCCTTTATTTATTGATTTATTTTAATACGTTTTTATTGATTTTTAGATAGAGAGGAAGGGAGAGGGAGAGACAGAAACATGGATGAGAGGGAACCATTGATGGGCTGCCTCCTCCATGCCCCCTACTGGGCATCGAGCTTGAAACCTGGGCACATGCCCTGTGTGGGAATCAAACTGGTGACCTCTTGGTACATGGGATGATGCACAATCCACTGAGCCACACCAGCCAAGCATTTTTTCTTCCTTTATATTATAGTTAAGATACATGATATATTTTAAAATTATGCATATAGAAAGAGTATGGTTGAATTTCACTTCAGGATAGTTAAGGGAGCACCGTCGCTTGTTAATAAAAGGGGTGCTGGACCTGGCAGGATGAGAACTCCTGTTTTAAACCAACACACAATTTGTGTATGTGGAACTAATTTTCAAAACTCCTTATTCAAGGCTGGCCCGCCAGAGCCTTCAGCCTGCCCTACTCTGTCACTATCATTTTCCCCAATTATAATGTCTTTCAAAACATGGTGAAACCCAACAGGGCCAACCATAGGACAGAGACCTTCCCTCCATCAAAGCTGAGGTCCTACGATGCTGGTGGAACAAGGAAACAGAGCATGGCCAACAGGTCCTCCCGACTGTTCCAAAAAGGCTGGTGACCAAGCAAAGGTCCTCTGAGGTCCCAGATTGAAGTAGGAAACTGGAACCTCTTGGGGGACCACCGGTTCTTTCTCTTTCCAACCAGGTGACCCCACAGTGAACTCACCAACTACTCTGTGAGCTGGCTGCACAATGGTACACATAGGGTTGCCCAGAAAAAGATGGCCTTCTGTGAGGAACACACTGATCAGACAGAGGCTGTGCTCAGTGGGGCTTTGCTGTGTGTTTCTCCCTGAGATCTGGCACATTAAAGTGTATCAGGTGCTTTGCGTGACGTATCTAAAAACATGAGGTTACTTGCATGAATTATGGCCCATCCATAGTGGAATCATGTAGCCATCAGAAATGGTATCGATGCATAGGGAAAGATGGTCACATATACTAAGTGACAAAGTGGATAACAGTGTGTGGTAAGATACCACTGTGTGCGTGTGCATGTGTGTGTGTGCACATGCATGCAGCACATGTGCATGCAGCACACATGCATGAATGCAGAAAGGAAAAATAATTTCTTTGGTGGAATTATGGGTGCTATTTTTTTTCCTTTTGCTTAATTGTCTTTCCTGATTTCTTTTCCATGAATGTATATTGCTTTTTTAATAATAAAAAAGCTTAGACTTTTATTTTTAGAAATCAGATGTGCTTGGTAAGATATGTTGGTGGACTCGGAGCTGCATGCGGTGCGGTCCTGATTTACCCCGGGAGCCCAGGAGTACTCGCTCCAAACGTGTGCCGAGTGGAAGGGAGGGGAGGAACGGGAGCGAATGGCTGTCCACGTACCTGTCTGCGTGAGCTCTCCCATCTCACATAGCGGGTGATTGGGGAAAAGAGGCAGGGAGTGCAAGGGGCTTTCGAAAGAGGCTCCGGATCCTTTCAACATGTGACTAACGAAAGCGTCCAGTTTAGGGTGATACGGTTTCCTAAAGAGACAACACAGATTTAGAGGTCAGTGTGCTCCAGAGCAGTACGCAATGGTTTCAGCTTCAGCACGCAAAATCCCAAGTGTGGTGTGCCCTTTCTCCCCAACAACAGGGACTTGCTCAATCACTTTTAAATTCCAATTTCCTTATCACTCAACCACTGACCCCTACGCATAACAATCCCCACTCTGATAGGCCAGCCTGAGCTCCTCTCCTGAGTGCCCATCTCTCTGGGAGTCAGCTTTGCCCTCCACCATCTGGTTCCCAACCTGTGCCCCTCCAGTCTCCCTCTCCAGGAGGCCTCTAACCCTCACCAGACAGTCATGCCTAGGCTGGGAGTCCTCGATGTGTCCCTCCCCTGCCCCTACACAGGCCATCTGCCTCCCGGTCCTGCAGCTGTGTCCTCCAGGGGCTTCACGCCTCTCTCCTGCATCCCTGCCGCCACCAGCTGGGTCCTGGATCAGACAGCTTCTGTCTGGATGGCACAGGTTCCTCTTCGGACTACCTGCAGCCCAATCTTGCCCCTGTAACTGGCTTTCTCCACTGCCAGAGAGAGAGCCTTAAAAGGCACCCCGACTCGTCACTGTTCTGCCACACTACTACCTTCCGGAAGGAGCCACATGTGCCCGTCAGTCTGTTCTGGCCCCACCCCACGGTGAGGCTCAGGGCTCCCCAACCCTCTCCACTCTCATGCTGAGCTCTGGACACACGCAGTCCACCAACAGCCTTCTGTCCCCCCAACACGCCTGTTCTTTCATGCTTCCAAGACTTTCCACATGCTCTTCCTCCTCAAACACCTGCCCCAACCTTTACTGGGTAACCCTTATCCTAGCTGACCTCTGGAAAGTCTCTTTTGAAGAAGATTAACTGATTAAGGTAATCAAGATCTCTATAGCTCTCTATAATTCATTATGTATTTTGTATATACAATATGTGGTCACAAAAAGTAAACGAAAAAACAAAAAAACAAACCAGTATGTCAATGAGATCTGACTTTTTTTTTATATTTCTGCCAAGGAGTACATGTGGTAAATCAAGATTAAATCTATCTTTCTAGTTACTAATATACAATTTCCCTGAATAATAAAATGACCCACAACTATATACATATTTTCTCCGAATAATGAAATGGCTTATGAATATATACACTTTCTCTGAATAATGAGGTTACTTATGAATATTTACACACTTTCTTTGAATCATGACATGGCCTATGAATGTATATACATTGTTAGCTGAACAGAAGCAGATAGATTAGTTCCCAGCGAAACCAAATCAGCATGAAAAGCAGCAAAGATAAATCGTTCTAATGGCAGACCCTGGCTGTCTGCAAGGCCAATGAACATAAAAAATGCTTAAAAAATGGCTGCCAAAATAGGTTTAATATCTTTCAAACAACAGAAAGCTAAAAAAAAAAAAAAATCCATCTTTTAAAAGACAGGTTTTGAAATGAGAGAAGGCTGACCCTATCGTACGGGACAGCCTGACGGTCCCCCTGGACTGCGGCAGGCACACTGTCCCCGCAGCCAACCAGAGGGTGCACTATTTTTCCTGAGGCTAAAACACATAGATATTTGCAAACCGGAAAATAAAATTTCCCACTGATAATGAGGCTGCCAATACGAATGCACATCAGCCCGAGGCTTTGCATTGGCGGGAGTCCAGTGTTCCGCTCCAGGCCACTGTTTCAGGTCGGCGAAGGCTGAGGATCTGGGAAAGCGTGGCTGCCAATTTTAGAAACAAGATCTCACGACTGAAAGTGCTGGCTGAGATGTCCCGGGTTTTTCGGGAATCTGCCTGCCTAATGATGTGTTTGTTTCTAACTGCGTTCATGAAAACTTGTTTTTTGGTAGGGCAAGATGAAGATGCACAGAAGAGAAACTTCACTTATGGAAAAGAAAACAGATGGCTGGATCTTTGTAATAGGAAGAGAAGCGGGTCACCCGAGTCCCCGGCCGGGCCTGGATCTGAATGACCAGGTCCTGCCTGCCTAGTCCACAGCTCCACCCTGGGGGCTGAGACGGTACCTAGCACATGACGATACTCCAAAAAGGCCTGTGAATGAGTTCACCTGGGAAATGCCCCCTCCTTAGATGCTTCATGCAAAGTCCCAGCCTGCCAGAACCCATGGCAATGAACGTAGCAAGCTCCAAGTGTTTATTAAAATGTTCAGGTTTTGAGCACAATATTAAACATAAAGGCCACTGCGGGTGCCACTGCTAATTGTGACAAAGCCTCTCTTTGACCAAACTTTAGTGAGTCTCCTCTGAACCCTCTTCACAATCAGGCCTCGAGCTTGGGCCTTACTCTGGTCTTTGCACTGCCCGATTTTAGGAAAAATCCTGCTAAGTCGACTTAACCAGCCAGATCTCCCACTCCTGCCATCCAATCGAATTCCTCATCCCCGGTGGTATGTGAGCACCCTGGGCCGTAAATCCTCACCCGTCCATGCTACACGTGGAATCAAGCCCGGTTCTCTTCTGCTGCGTTCGTTCCTGAATAAAATCTGTTTTTACTGCTTTAACTACCGTCTGGCTTGGGCTTTTCTTTTGCTTGTGCACTAAAATCTATTCTCCTCTTCTTAGGAACTTGGTTGGACCCCACGTCTGAGGTCCGAATGCTTGGGGAGAGCCACGTAGGGATGGAAGGATGCACACCACTCCCGGGGTCAGGCTTTCAGATCGCGGGGGGTCCCCTTCACACTCTCTCCCTTCCCCGTGGCCACTGTTCAGGCCTGGCAGCAACTCAGGCTGACATGCAGACGTCCCTAGGGTGTGGGGAGAACCACACATGAGAGGAACCTGGAGCCCTGAATGACCAGGAGGAGCCCAGTCCTAGGACCTGGAACATTCATCTCAGATCTTCGCACAAAGAAGAGACAGATTTCTTTGTTATTCAAGGCAACGCATTCTTGCGTCTCTTTGGGACCCCGACTAACACAGAAATGATTGTATCTGTGACAATAAATTTTTCTTCAGGAAAAACTCAAGTTATTGTAGCCTCATTGCAAATCTGCTTTCACGCTCACAATTTAAAGAGTCAAAAGTGCTACTATTTTAAGCCTTCAAACCATTCACTTCAGGGTTCTTATTTACAGTTCTCTATGCGTTGTTCATACCCATAGATGCCACAAAGCATGAGACAGAACCCTGAGCCTACTCTACACACCCCCAGGAAGATTTATTGTGCTCCGCCAATAACCTCAGCAATTACTGATTTCTGCACAGAACATGAAGACAAGCAGAGGAGAGGCAAAAGCCCAGTGACACTGTTATCAGAAGACAATTTGGAAAAGCCTACATGGTTGGAAACTTGGATGCATTCATAACACATATTTTTTAGAGTTTATACTAATTAAAGAATTTATTATTTTATGTTACCAATAAAATGAAATTCTGAAAAGATAAACTCAGCCTGGTCAGTGTGGCTCAGTGGATTGAGTGTCATCCAATGGACTGAGAGGTCGGGGTTCCATTCCCAGTCAAGGCACATGCCTGGGTTTGGGGCTCAATCCCCAGTAGGGGGCGTGCAGGAGGCAGCTGATCAATGTTTCTCTCTCACATGGATGTTTCTATCTCTCTCTCTGAAAAAATCAATGAGAACATATTTAAAAAGAATAAAAAGATAAACTCAATATACTTTTCTCAGTCTTTAGCTTTCTGGACATTTTTTCGTCACTTGACGTGAGTGACTGCCTGCTCCCTGCTTCCTGAAACTCCTTCCTTCGTTCAGTGACACCCCCCCACTCTCCCGCCTCCTTCCCTGTTTGCAGCTGCACCCTCCCCTCCTGGGCCCTCCTCCCTCCCTGTGCTGTTTCCGGGACTGTTTCCGGCCCTTCCCTCACTCCACAGGCTCTGTCTGGGTTCCACCCAGGCCCACAGCTCCGACCCATCTGCATGCGGAACCCTGAAATCAGCCGCTGTCTCCCAGCGAGATAAAGCTCCAGGCCCCGCAACTACACTCCCTTCTGGAAAGTATCCCTTGGATGACTGATGACCATTCAAATTCAGCACTGAGACCTCTCCTGGTAACTTCCCTCCGGTGCTATTTCGAGGAGCGGCACCACCTGGTACGTGAGCCAGGTACAGGTGACAGTACCTGGCACACGACATGTGTTTTAAAATAAAATGTATTGAATAGATAGTGATTTATCAATATACTTTTCTTCTTTGGATGTGGAAAAGAGTATTAAAGTCATATTCATGAATGTAAAAAAAAAACCCCACCATTTACTAAACATAGCATATCAATGGCCAATAACCTTACTACTGGCTAAATATAGTCCTATGGGGGTAAAAGGGCACCTTGGTCACGAGGCACAAGGCAAAGACTCTGAGAGCTATGCTGTGTGTCGCTGTGAAGGGAAACATTGGGGCGACCGACCTGTAGGGATGTCCAGCTCCCCTTCCTCAGCCCACACACTCAGGACTCTGCCTTTTAGGAGGCCACAGACATTGATAACTCATGAAGCTGAACTGGCCCCTGGGAAGGCCGTGGGCACTGCTGGTGACCCTGCTCCCACAGTCCCAGGAAATCAGAGGCCCGAAGTGGATTCAGATAGCTGGGGGTCCTGCCCACTCTTACCAATGACAGGTCAACATTTATTGCTTTTAAAGACGGAATTAGTTAAATGACATTAATTTATTCAACATGCATACTCCACCCACTTTCTACCAAGGACTTAAAGTAGATCTAAAAATACAGAATGCTGGACAAAACGAGGCCACAGGATCAAGGCCGGGGAAAATGAGGGCAGAAGCAGCTAGGGAAGCTGCTGGCCCCCACAAACTATGTCCCTCAGATGGGAGCTCCAGGAACAGCCCCTCAGTGGATCCTGCCACTGCTCTGACGGAATGCGGGGCCCTGGACCTGTCCTGGCTTCATGACCATGACCACAAGGGACGAAAAGAGGCTGGACTCCGAAGACCTCTGGGCTGCTGTGGTAAATGAGATGTCACCCCCTTATCAAGCCAGGCTCAGAGCCTCTCTCTCCCACCTTAGTCAGATTTCACAAGGATGTGAGAAGGGAGGTATCTGTCCCCAGGTTCCAGCGTACTGAGGCCCAGAGAGGTGAAGTGATCTTCCCTACGTCAAACAGGCCCCAATGACCTCAGAGGGGTCCATGCCAAGACTTAAATCTGATAGGAACACATGATAGGCAACTGTGATTTGTGATTCTTACTTAGGTCCTGAATTCATTCTGCAGCCAACCCCACCCAACAACTATTACAGGCTGGGCAGGAGTGAGACTCAATGCCCTGGAGAAGCTGGTGGTGTGGGCAGGGCAGAGACAATCACGCTGGGAAGGCAAGCTGCAAAGTACCAGGGTGCATGGGGGAGGCCCTGCATGCTGCCAGGTGGCCCTGCCCAATGGGCCCTTTTTCTGGGAACAACCAGGGTGGCCCCCAGAGGCTTCGACTATCCAGAGACCTTCTAGCAACAGCTGACCAGTCTGAGGGCAGACCCCTGGTCTGAGCCAAGCCTCTCAAATTCTCACTTCTGAGAATTTGAAGCCCGGATAGAGGATCAGAAGCTGCAAGTAGCCAGGAATGAAGCATGGTACTGCCCACGAAGTCCTTGAGGCTGTCCTGGGTCCAGCCAGCTCAAAGGCCTGGTTGCCTATCTATGCCTGGGCTGCTCGAAGGGTGGAGATCCAGCCAGCATGTGAAGGCAGGACTGTGCCAGTCGTTAACACACAGACACTCTGCTGCGCCTGGCTGAGTAAAGCCACTTCCCTAAGCTGCCCTCCCTGAACCCCACCCCGTGCCCTCCTGCCACCCTGGATGCTCCAAGCCCATCCCCAAGATCCAGACACCAAAGACTTAATCCCAGCACAGAAAGTGACCTCTGCCCTTGCCCTAGCCCTCAGGCCAGTTGAGGTCTGATCATTAAACATTTTGTTCGGAGACCTTCCCGCACGTCCTCCTGTCCAGATTGAGGCATTGGCTGTGCCTGAGACAAGCAGAGAACCCGTCCTCACACAGAGCGAGAGGGTTCCTACAGGAGCCACATCTCCGGGGGCCTCAAAGGAGTCGTGCAGTGGGCCAAGCAGGCATGGGGGGCAAGTAAGCCCAACAGCGGATGCAAATGCCTGAAGGGGTGACGGGGGCTAGCAAGAAGTGGGTATGGCAGGGGCAGAGGATCCCAACGGGAAGGCTGGCACAGAAGGCTAGAGACTGGCCTCAGACGGGCCAGGGCTTGATCTGCTGTGTGACCTCACACAGGTGTCCTCACCTCTCTGGGCCTCTGTTTTCTCAACTGTGGAACAACACTGCCATGCAGGATTGTCCTGAAGGTCAGACTCTTGGCAGGCAGTACCCACTCCATGACGAGTCACTCCTGTTCCTGTCATTCTCCAGGCAGCCTTTTAATTAGGACAGAGATAACAGATTCTGGCAAGTAACTTTTACAGAAAGTGCAGTTTACCTGTTAGCCACTAGAGTGCAGTCAATTTCTGGTCGCTTCGTTTTGGGAATGACATACAGTGGATATCTGTCCCCATGTCGAATGAACACATGCACAGAAACCAGCTTAAAATGATGCGGAGCGTGACCTGCGAGAGACGACAGACAGACAGACACACTGTCTTGTTATCACTCAGGAAGTGTCCATCCTTTTTACTTCACAGAAGTGAGGAGGGGTTAACTGGTGGACAGGTACTGGGCTGGGGTGGGGGTGGGGGTGGGGGAACTCTGAACAGACTCACAGGAGAGGGCTGGTTATGTCCCAGACCCCGGAAATCATGGGGAGGCTCTGGGGGTACAGCTAGGGGCTGGAGGCCAGTGAAATGTGACAGGAATATTCCTGTGGTCTGACTCAAACCCACAGACTAGGGGAGGACCATGGAAACACCGGACACGTGGCTGTTTCAAGTCTCCTGAAACAAGGCAGGGCACAAACAGATTCAACATCATTCTTTGATACACTCTCGAAACAGCAAATTCAAGGTAGAAGTCATATTTCCCACACCTTTCCTGCAGGATGTCCTAAGCCCCAGAAAGCACACTTGGAAAAGCTGGGGGGGGGGGTGCTAGAGGTGAGGGAGGTAAGACCTGGGAACTCATTCAAGGACACAGCCCAGGGACAGCGGCGGGACCCTCACTCCATGCTGTGCTGCTTGGAGAACCAGTCCCTGGAGGGTGTCGGTCAGGGTACCGGGTACCAGGTGGGCAGCGCCGGCAGGCCTACCTTCCATGCTGCGCTCGGCCACACTGGGAATGTTGCAATACAAGAGAGCTTCGTAAACCGGGTCCGTCCCCGGGGGCTCCGTCACGGGGTCAGGCATGATTCTCTTTCGACTCTTGCTACTCGCTCCATTCTTGGCCGTCGACACCGGGATCAGGTGGACTGCAAGGAAAGCCAAGCAGGTCACGACACACGCAGTCACAGGGGGCACCGGCCAGCTGCAGGGCACAGAGTGTGGTTGGATTTTCACCTTGAGGGACTGTTCTTTCCCTCAGCATAGACTGCAGTGCAGCAAGAAGTCAGCTTCCCCTCCAGGAACTGTTTCTTGAGCCCCACGGTGCCTTGCCTCTCTCGTGATGCCATGATGCTCTCTTCACTAATGATTATGCAGCACAAGTGGGCAACTCACAGTACGGGGACTCACTCACGGTGGTAAAGGGAGAACTTATACACTATTTCATTCAAACTGAAGACTGCCTTCCTAACACCCTTTGGATTCTAGTAAATACAAAGGAAGAAAACCATCACCTTTTGAGTACCTACAAAGAGCTAGACATAGGTGTCTGACATATGTCATTTAATACCATCTGCTGTGTACTTTGTGGCCCCCGGAGCCTAATCACAGGCATCCACTCATTAATCCTCATGAAGCTACTTCACGAGAAGAGAGCCACAGACCCAGGGGGAGGCTGAGGCAGCTGCCCAAGGTGTACGTGGTGGATGGAACCCCATTTCGAGCTCACTCTTCTGCCCCCAGGCCAGGTACCCCCAACAGTTTTCTGGTGTCATGCATGGGCCTCGCAGTCTGTTAGGTTTGCCCATCTAGCACCCCTTTTTCTGTTGGTGAACCACTCCTTCCCCTCCCCAGGTAGTTCTGGTTGAACTGTCAATCACAATGTCCTTGGTCCCCTGACTGGGGGTGGACATGTGACTGGAGTCAATGAGGACAGTGATGGGGCAACTGGACTAGTTTTCCTTGGGAGAAGTGCTGTGCAGACTCTAGAATAAGGGCTCCTTTTCTTCTAGATTCTGCTCTCTAAGAACAGAAACTTCCGCCATCTGTCCCTCCATGGAAAGCCTTTGTCTGCAACAGAAGAGAGTGATGCTAAGTAGAGACAAGCGAGACCAACAACGAATGAGGAGGGTTAATCAGAGAGAAGAATATGACCAGAGGATATCCATTCTTTGTGCCCCTGGGTCCAGATGTGGCTGAAGCAAGAACCTCTCTTAGATATAAGTCTAGAAAGTCCTCTCCTTACTTAAGCCAGTTTGAGTTGGGTTTTAGTTACTTCCAGTCAAATGAGTCCTGATTAATGTACTTTATCAATTATTTATGAGCAGATATAAGTCCATCCTCTGGGTCATGGTCCTCAATCATTCCATGCAAGAGGAACCTCTGTGTAGCATACAGGTTTTCTAGAACTCCCTACACAACAACTGTTGTATTTTTAGCATCCACCAAATGAGAAAATCCACAGAAATAGGTGTGCCCATCAATCATTTAACTTCTAAAATGTATTCATCACAATATATTATAGATGCATACATTTTAACAATTGCTAAAACACAGTCCATCACCAGTCTAAATCCATTTAAATTCCCTAATTTCTTCTACAAATTCTTCTAAATAAATATTTAAAACTTTCCTTTGGCAAACGAATGTTATGCACAAAGGTAAAAGACAAGCAATCCATTGAGAGGAACATATTTACAACATACATAACAAATTATTAATATCCAAAGTGCATATATATGCTCCTAACACTGAAAAATAGGTAAAGGGTATGAGCAGGCTAATTACAGGAAAATAAATACCAATGTCAATACACCTATCAGATGATGTTCAACATTACTCATACTTAAAGAAATACAAAATAAAACAATAGGGTACAACCCTCCCCATCAGACTAGAAAATCATGTATTAATAATAACATCAGGCCCTGGCTGGTGTGGTTCAGTTGGCTGGAGCGTCATCTCAAAGGGTCTCGGGGTTCAATTCCCATTCAGGGCACATGCCCATGTTGGGCTCTATCTCCAGCAGGGGGCATACAGGAGGCAGCTGATGGATGTTTCTCACATTGATGTTTCTCTCTCTCTCTCTCAAATTCAATAAAAACATACCCTCAGGTGAGAATTCAAAAAAACAAACAAAAACAATAACATCAGCACTGGCAAGGGTGTGAAACCCACACTTCTTCCGCCCATGGAAGAGGAGAGTGGCAACTGGAATGACCTTTGGGAAGAAGCATTTGGCTGTAGTCACCAAAATGTTCTATGAGCTTTATCCCTGGTTCCATTGTTCTACGTCTTGGAATCTATCCAACAAAGACATGAATTCCCGTCACAAGGATGTATGGCCGAAGAGATTCACTGCTGCGCCGTCTCTAACAGGGGAAATAACCTAAATCTCTCTCATTAGCAGAACAGAAAGTTACATGGACAAAGTGGAATTTTCTGCCACGGTGGAAAAGAATGGGAAAGAATCAGAGATAAATAAAGTAGATAAACCAAGTCACAGGGTATTTACACAGCCCCTTCGTGTAAAGGTAGGACTATCGGTGTGTGAGCGCACAGGCATCTGCTCACTCTGCACGTGCACAGAAGGTCTGTGAGGACAGCCGCCCCGTACAGAGGTGGTTTCCTCTGGGAAATGCGTGAAATGAGCTGTGAAGTACGTTCACGTAATTGTCTATATTGCTTATACCCACACATATACATATGTATATATATTTACAGTTAAGCATGTTGTATATATTTGTGTGTATAGAAATACGTGTATATTTCTACAATGTCTACATATACTCATTTTTTCAGTAAGCATGTTTTCACTCATTGCTTGTGTTAAGATAACAATCACAGAGCTACAGAGTTGGCCCTTCACCAACTCAAAAGCAGCCCTTTGGTGGGTCCTAGAGCCATTTTCTTCCCAGCAACTGGAAGGGGCCCAAACTGCTGACACACAGCTCAGGTGCCTGAGGTAATTACTAGGGGGCCATTTGTTCCAGAGCAAGGGGATAAAGAAAGGTAGATGTCCCAAGGCAGTGTCTTAGTGACCCAGCTCTTCAGGCTGTGTGGCACCTCTGTCCTGGACTCTGCTCTTTCACGACATGGTAAGGACCTGGCCCCTGGGCCATGCCTGTGGGCACACGCCCTGAGTCTGGGCCAGGGAGAAGTAAAGCCGAGGAGACATGATCATATGAGTGACACAGGGATGGAGGGACATGGGCCCTGGGTGTCCCAGAGTCCTCACAGTTTGTGGTTTATCTGTAAGCACACGGGGTGAGTCCTGTTGGGGTTACCACTTGGGAACTACTATAGACTAAATGTGCCCCCACAAATTCAATGTGAAAACCCTGACCCCCGATGTGATGGCATCTGGAGTCGGGGCCTTTAGGAGGTGATCAGGGCATGAGGGTGGCACGCTCATGAATGGGATCGGTGCCCTTGTAAGAGACCTTGGAGAGCTCTCTGCCAAGTGAGGCTACAGCAAAAACATGCCTCCTCCCCAGATCCTGAATCTGCTGGTGCTTGGATCTTAAGCTTCCTGTTCTCCAGAACTGAGAGAAATAAACGTCTGATGTTCATACGCCAGCCAGCTTACGGTATTTTATTAAGCAGCCCAAAGGACTAAGACGGGAACCATGGTAACTGGGTCCAGATGTCCCACCCACAACCCAAGGAGGCAGTGGTTTGGAAGCCAATGATAAAGACTGGGCCAGAACTGATAATCCACCCAGAGAGGTCGTATCCATGGCTTCCTTTGGCATCTGCGCCCGCCAGCCTCGTCCACTAGCTGCTGAGATTACCCTGTGCTGTTTGAGCCTTCCCGAGTTTCCAGGATGCACAGCCCAACGATGCAAGGCCCTCTGAGGGGTTCTCCAGACACTATTCAGGGGAGGCTCTGATGCGTAGAAGCCACGGGGTGATGGGTTTCCCCAGCTCCTTCTCTCTGCCTCCCCTCCCCTAACTGGGTTCTGTCCTGAACTGCTCAGAGCCATCCTGCTCCCACGGATGTTTCTCACCCATGCTTGCAACTCTACCCTCAGCCCACCTTGTTCTCCAAATCTGGCCAACGCCATAACCAATCCAGGGGTCACCTCCTTCAGGAAGCCCACCCTGAACCCCCAGGTAGTCTTGACACCCCTTTTCTGTGAGCCCACCCGGTTCTTGCTGCCATCCTGGCTCACACACTACATGTAAGCAGGAGTGTTCACAGTCTGTCCACACGCCACCCTAAACACCCAGAGGGCCAGGGCCAGGGCTCTCGTGATTACTATTCCCTGCCACCCAGCGCAGGGCAGGCCCTTCTTGCATGCTTGTTGAACTGATGCTCCGAGCCAGGCACCATGCTCCATGCTTTGGGTGAAACACTCCGTGGACCCTCACACGGGAGCCCTGAGGGAGCGGGGTTACCTGAGCAGCCTGGGGGTGGGGCCAGCAGCAGCTGCGTGGAGAAGACGCTGCAGCTGGGCCTGGAGGGCTGCAATGGGGCTGGCTACACGAGGAGAGGAGAGCTCTGTGCAGCACGGGCAAATGCAGCGGACGAGAGGCGGCGCGCCAGCTCCAGACGCCCCTGGAGGCCGGGGCCAGCTGGCCCCACCAGGGCGGATGTTCAGGGAGCCCTGGTAGACGTCACTGCGAAGGAGCCTGAGCTGAGCTGCCCCTGCCCTGGCTGAGAGCCTGACGCATCAGCTCTCCCAGCGGGAGCATGAGCTCCAGAACTGCCTCTCCTGGCTGGCCTTGCCCAGGTCCCCAGCTCCTCCAGCTGCCCCGCGGGGCCGTGAGCAACTCTGCCGAAGCCAAGCAGAGCACAGCAGCTCCGATATCATCAGGCAAGCCACAGGAACCGTGAGGCATCGACAGAGACAGTAAGCGGTCAAATCAATGAATAATAAGTATCATTGGTGTAAAAAAAAACAACCAAAAAACCATGAATCCAGACGAGGCCCTGGGGCCACTGAAACACCATGGCCCACATAAATCAGAATAGGAGACATCTTTATTGATAATTAACTCGGTACCAATGGGCATGCAATTTATCCGAGGTGTGATTTCCAAGCAGATTTCCATGAGCCACCTGTACGCACGAGTCTCTCATTTACAGCTGCTGTACCTGCTCATCTCACTGCAGTCACTTTCATCCTGTCGGCACACCTACAAC